ATCCCCAAGAACCACATTCTAAAAAAGATCTTAAGACCAACTCTTAGGTGGACTACTGGGCGTCCTAAAAAGTCCTCAGAACCAGACCATCTCTCAGGAGGGCCTACTGGGCGTCCTATAAGTCCTCAGAGCAAGACCAACTCTTAGGTGGACTACTGGCGTCCTAAAAAAGTCCTCAGAACCAAACCATCTCTCAGGAGAGCCCTACTGGGCGTCCTATAAGTCCTCAGAGCAAGACCAACTCTTAGGTGGACTACTGGGCGTCCTAAAAGTCCTCAGAACCAAACCATCTCTCAGGAGGGCCCTACTGGGCGTCCTATAAGTCCTCAGAGCAAGACCAACTCTTAGGTGGACTACTGGGCGTCCTAAAAAGTCCTCAGAACCAAACCATCTCTCAGGAGGGCCCTACTGGGCGTCCTATAAGTCCTCAGAGCAAGACCAACTCTTAGGTGGACTACTGGGCGTCTTAAAAGGTCCACAGGATCCAAACCAACTCTCAGGAGTCCGTACTGAGCGTCCTATAAGTCCTCAGAACCAGACCAACTCTCAGGAGGACTTTACTGAGCGTCCTAAAGAGATCCTCAGAACCAGACCAACTCTCAGGAGGACTTTACTGAGCGTCCTAAAGAGATCCTCAGAACAAGACCAGGTCTCAGGAGGACTTTACTGGGCGTCCTAAAGAGATCCTCAGAACAAGACCAGCTCTCAGGAGGTCTCTGCACAGAGCGTCCTAAAGAGTCGTCAGAACCAGACCAACTCTCAGGAGTCCGCACTGAGCGTCCTATAAGTCCTCAGAACCAGACCATCTCTCAGGAGGACTCTACTGGGCGTCCTATATGTCCTCAGAGCAAGACCAACTCTTAGGTGGACTACTGGGCGTCTTAAAAAGTCCACAGGATCCAAACCAACTCTTAGGAGGACTTCTGGGCGTCCTATAAGTCCTCAGAACCAGACCAACTCTCAGGAGGACTTCTGGCCGTCCTAAAAAGTCCCCAGAACCAGACCAACTCTCAGGAGTCCGCACTGAGCGTCCAATAAGTCCTCAGAACAAGACCATCTCAGGAGGTCTCTGCACAGAGCGTCCTAAAGAGTCGTCAGAACCAGACCAACTCTCAGGGTCCGCACTGCGTCCTATAAGTCCTCAGAACCAGACCAACTCCCAGGAGGACTTCTGGCCGTCCTAAAAAGTCCTCAGAACCAAACCAAATCTCAGGAGTCCGCACTGAGCGTCCTATAAGTCCTCAGAACAAGACCAACTCTCAGAAAGTCTCTGCACAGAGCGTCCTGAAGACTCGTCAGGAACCAAACCAACTCTCGGGAGGACTCCATCGAGCGCCGTCGAGTCCGTACGAAGTCCTGGGCGAGAGGGAGAGGAGGGTCATTAGCAATGCTGCATCTAATTGCAGAACCCCGAGGGAGATTCGTCTCTTAGCAGGGGGCCCTTTGTCATGGAAATTCGACGTTTGCAACCCTGCCGCTGTCGACACTGAAATGGCTTTGATTGCGAGAGAAAGGGCGAAGGGAGAGGGAGGAAGGAGGGAGAGAGGAGGAGGAAGAGAGGAGGGAGGGAGGAGAGGAGGTAAGATGGAGAAGGCGAGGGAGGGGAGAGGGCGGAGGAGGGAGAGGGCTGAGAGAGAAGGGAAAGGAAGAGGGAGGAAGGGAGGGGAAGAGGGCGGAGGGAGAGAGAGAAGGCGGAGGAGGGAGAGAGGCGGAGAGGGAGAGGGGCGAAGGGAGAGAAGAAGGCGGAAGGGAGGGGAAGAGGGAAGAAGGGAGGGGAAGAGGGAGGAAGGAGGGGAAGAGGGAGGAAGGGAGGGGAAGAGGAGGAAGGAGAGAGGCGGAGGGAGAGGGAGAAAGGGCGGAGGGAGAGGGCGTTCTCGGCTGCCTGGCTTTCGCTCGCGCTCTCTGGCTTGTTACGGATTTCTGTGGATTTCTCCGGCTTTCGCTGTTTCTGGCTTGGCCTCTGTTTTTGTCTCCGTATTTGCCTTCTTTGTCTGTCTGTATATAAGTACACACATACACCACACACACACACACACTCACACTCAACACACACACACACACACACACTCACACTCACACTCACACTCACACTTACGCTCACACTCACCACTCACACTCACACTCACACTCACAACACACACACACTCACACTCACACTCACACACACACACAAGCCTTTCTATCCCTCCCACCTTTTACCATTTTCCCTCCCTCTCGCTCCTTCCTCCTTCCTCGTCCCCATCCACTCCCCTCCTCATTCCTCCTTCGTCTTCCCTCCACCCTTCCCCTCCTTCCTCCTCCCCCATCCACTCCCCTCCCCCTCCTCCTTCGTCTTCCCTCCACCCTTCTCCCTCCTCGTCTTCCCTCCTTCCTCCTCCCCCATCCACTCCCCTCCCTCCTCCCTCCCTCCCTCCCTCCACCCTCCTCTTTCCCTCCTTCCCTCCCTCCCTCCCTCCTCACGTGTCCTTTTATCGACCCTCCCAAAATCCCGCTAACTTGACCTGGCTATCGGACCCCAAAAAATCATATTATAAAAGGCCACCTGGGATTTCCCTGATTGGCTTCTCTTCTTCGGCACACAGGTCCTTCGATTAGAATCTTTGTGTTTGATTTTAGTTGTGGATTTATTTATTTATTTACTTTACTATTATTTTAGTTATGGATTTATTATTTATTTATTTATTTTACAATGGAAGAAAACCTTGAGGACTTAAAATGCGATATGGGGAATCTTTGTTAGATCGTTGTGTGATGTGTGTGTGTGTGGTGTGGTGTGATGTGTGGTGTGTGTTGGTGTGTGGTGTGTGTGTGTGTGTGTGTGTGTGTGTAATATATATATATATATAATTATATATATATATATATATATATANCCTTTCACCTCAACATACTTTGGCTAATGCTTTTTTCGGCTTGGAGAAAAGTCCGCTTGACCGAAACGAACGTGGTAAGAGCCCTCAACAGATAAAATCTCGTCGTCCTCTTCTCAGCAGAGCTCTCAGGGTCAACATCTTGGTTTCTTCGGACACGGTGGGTTTTGTACTCGCCCACGTTCTTCTTCACGTTCCCTGTTGCGCGAACGAGAGGAGGAAGAAGGGTGTGCGTGAGATGCTTTGCGCGAAAAGGTATATCCAGGAGAAATTAAACGCGCGCGCACACACACAAATAAAAAGAAGAAAAAAGGAATTGAAATTGAAGTGTGGTTTCGAAGTTCTTAATTAGACTAAAAAATGATCGAGATGGATCACGATTATATTTCATGTCTTTTTGTATGGCTGCTTCCTTTTCACCTTTGTGTACACATTAATGTGTTTGTTTATATATATATTATATAATATATATATATATATATATATATATATATACATATATATATATATATATATATATATATATATATATATATATATATATATATATACATATATATATGTGTGTGTGTGTATTACACACACATGTGTCTAATTATTATCGTTGTTGCTTTTTACTTTTATTATTATTATTGTTGTTATATTGTTGTTATTATTGATTAATATCATTATTTCCTTTATAATTGTTATTGACGTCATTGATTTTATAATCGCTATTGTTACTATCATCATTATTACCATTATAATTGTCATTGGTCATTAATATTATAATCATTATTGTTACTGTCATTATTATTATTATTACTATCATTATTTCATTTATTAACATTAATATTTTTGTCATTATCATTATAACCATTATTGTTACCCTTATTATTATTATTATTATTATTATTATTATTATTATTATTATTGTTATTATTATTAATATCATTATCATTAGAATAATTTTCGTTATCATTATTATTGTCATTGTCATTGGTGTTATTATCAGTAATATTTTTATCATAATTATTATTCTCATTATTTGTTACTATCATTATCATCATCATCATCATCATCATCATCATCAATCATCAATCATCAATCATACTATTATTATTGTTACTATTATTATCATTATATAGACTATCATTATCATTATATTTTTCGTCATTATTATTAGGTTCAGTACTATTTTTTATCCTTATTATTACAATTTTATCTCCATCATCATCATCATCATTATCATCCACATCACTACAACTACTATGTTAATGATATTACGATTTCGAGTACTACTGCTACTTCTACTACTACCACGACAATTACTGCTTCTTTTACTACTAATTCTACTACTTTTAATTCTACCACTACTTCTACTGCTACTGCTATCATCAACACCTCTATCATCATCATCACCATCACATCATCACACCATCCATCATCACATCATCATTCATCACCACATCCCACCCACCACATCATCACCTCCACACACCATCATCATCCTCACCGCCATCACCACATCACCACCACCATCATTATCATCATAATCACCACCACCACCTCCATCATTATTATCACCGCCTCCATCATCGTCATCACCACCTCCACCACCACTATCGTCATCACCAGCTCCATCAACACCACCACAATCACAACCACTATCATTACTACCAACATCACCAGCTCCACCACCATCATCACTACCACCACCTTCACCACCATCATCATCATCATTAAAACTGCTACTACGACCACTGCCACTACTTCTACTACTATTACTCTTCATTACTACTACTCTTTCTTCTACTACTACTTCTGCCCCTACTACTACTACTACTATTACTACCATCACTACTTTTACTATTTTTACTACTGCTTCTACTAGTACAGCAACAACAACTACTACTACTACTTCAACCACCTCTGCCCCAGCCATACTACACCTACTATGACACTTATTATACTTACCACATTCACCATGTCCCTCTGCCACTCATCTATTAAAAAACAACATTTATTTACGTTCATTCATTCCGCCACGCCCATTCACGTTCATTCATTCCGCCACGCCCATTCACGTTCATTCATCCCGCCACGCCCATTCACGTCCTCCTTACCGCTGCTGTGTTCGAGGGAGGTCACCCCGTGGAAGAATCTCGGCAGGTAAGCCTCCAAGACTCGCAAGGTCAAAGGAAATTCTTCAAGAGTCCCGACCACACTGTACTGGCGTTCTACGTGCATCTTGGCCAGCTGGAGGGCCTTGCGGTTCCCCACTTGGCTGAAAACGGAAGAGGTGATTTCGAGGTACTAGGTGGCTGAAAGGCGGCCGTTACTCTTAAGTCAGACCTACCTCTGACTTAACCGCAACAAGAGTAACAAGGTGAAGGTTTATATTCACTCTAGGTGCTTTTACCTAATAGTTTAAGCACACAATTGCCCTCTGATGGGTCCTGTAATGCTCCTTTTTCTTCTTCTGAACTCAACGCTGCGTTACAGTCGTGCCGCAACACCCATGGAGGCCCATCTATATGACTGTGATGAAGGGGGGGAGTGGGAGAGAGAGAGGGAGGGAGAAGGAGAGGGATAGAAAGTTAGGGAGTGAGAGGAATGGTGAAAGGAGAGAGAGGGAGAGGGAGAGGGAGAGGGAGGGAGAGAGTGGAGAGGGAGAGGGAGAGGAGAGGGAGGAGGGAGAGGGAGAGGGGAAGGGAGAGGAAAGGGAGAGGGGAGAGAGAGAGAGAGAGGAGATGACGGAGAGAAGAGAGAGAGAGAGAGAGAGAGAGAGAGAGAGAGAGAGAGAGAGAGAGAGAGAGAGAGAGAGAAGAGAGAGAAAAGCGAGAGAGGAAGGAGAGAAAAGCGAAAGAGCGAGAGAGTGAGGGAGAGAGGCACAGAAAGAGAAAAAAAAGAGCAAATAGAAACAGAAAGAGAGAGTCATTTTAAATTCATTACCTGCACACAGGATCGGTACCGCACAGGAAGGTCAGCTGCATCCTCATGTACTGGCCCAGCCTCGGGTAGCACTCGGGATGCTTGGCGGGGACGCACTCGTCAAGTGTCATCTCGAACCACGAATCTGGGGGCTTCCTGTGGCTGATTTTCTTGAGGGACCTGGCGGGAAGGAGGCGCAGCGTCCGGTCATTTGTCTCCTCTTGATTCCCTGTTTCTCTCTCTCTCCTTTTAAATACCTAGTTATGTATGTAGGCCTACTCATCCGTGTATTTATTTCATCAGCTGTGTTACTACTACGTAATATCCCATGTATAGTTGCTGCTTTTTCAGTAAAAGAAAGAAAGAAAGAAAAAAAAGAAAAAACACAGACAACACACACACACCACACACACACGCGTACACACACACACACATACACACATTCTCTCTCTCTCTCCCTCCTTCCTCTCCTCTCTTCTCTCTCTCTCCTCTCTCTTCTCTCTCTCTCTCTCTCTCTCTCTTCTCTCTCTCCCTCCCTCTCCTTCCCTCTCCCTCTCCCTCTCCTCTCCTCTCCTCTCTAACCTCTTCTCCTCTCTCTCTCTCTCTCATCTCTCTTCGTGTCGTCTCTCTCTCTCATTAAGTTGCTGTCGCATGGTTTGGTACTAGATGATTTCGTTCTTCTCTCTTCTCTCTCTGTCTCTCATCTCCTCTCTCTCTCTTCTCTCATCTCCCTCTCTCCCTCTCCCTCTCTTTGCCATCTCTCCTTCTCGCACTCGTCCCTTTCCTCGTGCCTCTCTTTATCGTCTCTTCTCTCGTCCTATATATATAATATATGTATATATATATATATATATATAATATATATATATTTAACACACACACACAACATGCAACACACCGGGGGTTTCACACACACACACATCACTATCACACACACACACACACAACACACACACGGGGGACAACGCGGCCAGGATACACACAGGCAGACATATACACAATCACCATTCACCCAACACACCACACCACACACATTTCGCACACCGGGAGCGGCGTTGGCACGACCAGCACAATGCCCACACAGAGCACACACTGTAGTACGCCTAGTGGTGCACATTGTAGGAGGTTGCCACACACAACACACACACACAACACATGGTTGAGTCCAACCACACACATATATATATAATATATGTATATATAATATGGTATATATATATATATATATATATATATTATAATATATATATAATATTGTATATACATATAGGTATATATATATATATATATATATATATATACATATATATATATATATATATATAGGTATATATTTATATATAATATATAATATATATAAGGTATATAATATATATATTATATATATAATTATATATATATATAATATATATATATATATATATAATTATTATATATATATTATATTATATTATATATATATTATATTATTATTCTACTATAATATATATATTCCCTCTCCCTCTCCGCCCCTTCTCCTCCCCCCCCATTCTTCCTTCCCCCCTTGCCCATAATCCTCTCTCTCTCTCCCACTCTCTCTCATCTCTCACCTCTCCTCCCTCTCTCTCTGTCTCTGTTCTCTCCTTCCTCATTCTTCGTCTCTCTCCTCTCCCTCTCTCTCAGCCTCATCCTCCTATGTCTCGAGTCCTCTCTCCTCACATCCTCTCCCTCTCTCTTCTCTCTCCTCCTCACTACTCTCTCACTCTCCCCCTCTCTTCCTCTCACCTGCTCTCTCTCTCCCGTCATCCCCCATCCCGCTCTCCTCGGATTCGTCCACTCTCCCTCTCCCTTCGTTTCGACCTATCTACACTCTCATCACACTTCTCTTCTTCACTATCCTCTCTCTCATCTCTCTCATCTCTTCTCTCTCTCGTCTCTCCTTCTCTCTCTCTCCTCTCCCTCTCGTCTCCTTCTCCTTCTCTCTCATCTCTCTCTCTCTCTCTCTCTCGTCTCTTCATCTCTCCTCGTCTTCTCTCTCCTCTCCCTTCTTCTCTCCGTCTCCCTCTTATCTCCTCTCTCCTCTCCTCTCTCTTCGTCCTCTCTCTGCTCCCTCTTCCTCTCTTCTCGTTCTCCTCTCTCTCATCCTCTCTCCTCTCTCTACTTCTCTCCTCTCTCTCCTCTCTCCTTCTCCCTCTCCTCTCCCCATTCTCTCTCTCTCTCATCTCCTTCTCTCTTCTGCTCTCTTCTCCTCCTCTCCTCTCTCGTGCGTCTGCTTCTCATCTCTCTCTTCATCATCTCTCCTGCCTCCATACTCTTCTCTCTCTCCCTTCTTCCCTCTCCTTCTCTCATCCTCTCCTCTCCTCTCATCTCTCACCCATCTCCCTCTCATCCTCCTCCCTCGCTCCATCCCTCTTCTACTCTCCCCTCTCATCGTCGTCCCTGTCGAGAGCACTAATTCGATAACGCAGATATATCAGTCCGGGATTCAATTAGATACCCGGCAGCGAATATCAGGATGAGATGTTGTGTCTCCGAATGCATGGCACTGATATAGAGTCCATCTTCACAGTTCACACTCTCTGTCAGCTGCCTAACGTCGAGCCTGCTCGCATCAATTCTCCATACAGCCCTCCTCATCGTCCTCTCTCTGCGTCTTCCTCATACAAGACTTCTTTATCACCTGATAGATGTCCCATGACCAGTGAGCCACGCGCTGACACGTGATCACCCACGCTGCGCTGCGGCACGCCGCAATAGTAAAGCCCAAATCTCTCTTCTATCTCATCTTCCCCTTTCTTCTGCTCTCCTCTCTCTCATCTCGTCCCTCTCACGTCGATGGTATCCCAGCGGGACTTGTACGCGTATGAAAGTAGAACTCGCTGATGATCCTCTCGACGGGGTCGCGAATGATGTTCATCCAGGCGACGCGAGAGTTTCCTTGCCTGGAAGAGACAGAGGAGGAAATCATTTATCTTCAAGGAAATCAGGTAAATTCGCGCGCGCAGATACGGATACAGACATAGGCATAAATGCAGGCAAGCAGACACACAAGCACGATATAAAAAGTATTTAACTTTCTATACTGATATTGGTGGAGCAATGTGCTACTTTTACAGCTTAACTCTTTATTCTCTAGAGTTTACACGAGTAGAAATAAACAGGATACGAGACTGGTCAGTGCTGGGTCACTCGGGCGAAGGTGTATGCGTGTTTCTCTAAGAGAAGAGGTCAAGCCGGGTCGCTTTATATTCGTCAAGTGATGGGCAGAGCGATGGGGGCTTGGCATGGAGTGTATATTTAGTCACCCATGCGGGGTAACCCACGCCGCATGGAACAGCACAGAGCCCGCATGGACCCACGTGGCACGGCCTATGAGCTTGCATGATGCAATATGCTATGCGAACACACACACGCATATACAAAGACAAATAGATGAATATATCAAATGAATATATTGATATATACATGCAAAAACAAAACAAACAAACACAAGCAAAACCTAAGCAGAAAATCGAGTAGAACCCGGCCACTAACTTGGCGAAATCTACGTAGTACATGTGGCGGTCGTAGCTGATGGGAATCTTCCAGTTCTGAACGCCCAAGTGAGTCAGAACCATCCTCTGCTGCGCGCTCGTCAGGTTCATCTCGTTGTAGAGGAGCGAGTGTCTGTACCAGTACTTGTTCATCCTCGCCGTTCTGAAGGAATCGGGGGGGGGGGGGGACTTCAGTGGGGAGGTCGTTCTAGCGAGTGTGGGTGATGGTTCAGCTGATTCGATGCAAATAATGATCAAGATGGTAATATTGATAACGATAATTACAGTGATAATAATAAAGATGATAAAAAGTAATAATTCTGTTTTAATCAACGCAGAATTATTTTCTTTAATTCATGATATAAGGAAATAATAATGATAGTAATAACCATAAAAATATAAAATAGTAATATTCATAATGATGATATGACAATGATAGTAATGGTAATAAAATCAATATTATTGATTACATGATAGTAACCATAGCAATAATATTAATAACAATAATGATAATGATAATAATAATGATAACACTGATAATAATAACAATAATCATAAGCATTCAGAGAGCCAAGGCAATAGGGTCACATGCGATAAAAATATTCACACTAATATAATTAAAATAAAAATATTCACACATTAATATAACCTCTTTCTTAAGTACACAAAAATAATATTAACAATGATAATAATGCCAAAAATGAT